TCTCTCTCTCTCTCTCTCTCTTTACTCCTTGGTTCTTTCTTACTGCTGTCTTTCAGCCACACCCCTGATCTTATGGTAGGTAAGATCTCCACCTAGCCTTCTCTGGTAAGGGTGAAAAATGTGGGATGACCCATGCGAGTTGCGCACGTTAAGGATCCCTATTGGTGGTCCAAAATCGACAAGAGTAGTGAGCAGACTTCGGCCGCCACCTGGGCAAAATTCAAAATTCCAACCAACTAAAAATATCTAATGTGTCCCGCCCGCTCATATGACCTTATGTAGTTGTGAGTGCCGTTAAACACTTACCGATATATTTATTTACTAGCTGAGTCCCCGGCTTTGCTCGGGGTCAACGCCTTGGCGTCACTGCTCCTACTGGTCTACGCCGCGGAGACTTTTTTCATCTACATTGCTGTCTAGCCTTTCACAGTCATACCTGGCTTCTAGATCTAGATTGCTTTAGTTTAAGTCTGCCTTGATTAACTCCTCTCTTGATCTACATTGCTTTAGTGTATTGTTGTCTAGCCCTTTACAATCACAAAATACGGATTTCGCCTTACACCATCACTAAAAAGCACTAAGAAAGTAATAATCCAGGAAAGGGCTGCTACACTGAAAAAGGAACACACCGACGTCTTCACAATCACAGAGGCCGTGTCTATAGCTTGTTCGCCTTCCTCTGACAGCGTTAAAAAAAACAAATTCTCGCTCATTGACAAATGAACCTAGGCCCACGAAACTTTACATAGCACTTCCAGGCTAGCGACCAAACAAACAAAAAATGTTTTTTTAAAGTCTTGACATAGTAATAAAAAAGTATCTCTCTTTGGGTCCTATATGAAAAACAACTCTTTGGATGCATTCACAGGATCACGTCTCCATGTAGGTGAGTCTCGGAAATTACTCGCCCCGTCTCTTGAATCGTGTTTCTTTGGCGAACGTTAAAGAGCGGTAATGAACCTACGCAGATTTGTTTCGTTTCTCAGTGGAATAACCGCAAGCAAATGTGAGGTGTGCAGACTCAATTACTCTTCTTTCGGGTTTACGTCGTATGGACATTAATACATCAACTTTGGGGGGGGGGG